ATCTCCTCTTTTGTTGTTTTCATTAGAAGAATCTCTAATATATTTGCTAATGTTTCTGGGAATAAAACTAAATGTCTTACAACTAAATCTAAGCTACATGTTATGATTTTGCTTTACCAGGAGTTAAATTACTGTTAGATTTATTGTAATAACTGCGATTCATTTATGTTAATAACAGAAAAAAATAATTTATTAATTATACATCTAATTAAAATAATCATACATTTATAAAGTCTAGCTATGCAAACTTATCAATATATATATTTTTTATCTAAAATGAATTAAACATCAATTTTATAATAAATAAGAATTCCCTATCATAAATCTATTATATATTATTATTGAGATTTTCTATAGTTTTAAAATTAATTTCATATATAAAAGGGGGGGGGGGAATAGATAATAATACTATAAATGTTAAACTAATAAAGTGATTAGCAAATCAAAATTAATAATATTATAACATATAAATTGTTAAGTATAAATTGTGAACGGGATACGTCATGAAGATAAATATTTAAAAAATGAAATATTTGTTTGTTCTCTTAGCAATCGTTTCAGCCTTTGACTATGATCCAGCTTTAGCTAACCAACTAACTGCATATTCATTTGCTGCTTATTGTAATCCTGAAAATATTTTAAGTTGGAATGTTGGCACTATAAGCCAATAATATCCTTACTTAAGCAAAATATAAATATTCGAGAACATTGAGCTAGTATTATATTTTAATGATTCTTAGGAAACAAGAGGTTTTATAGCTTACAATTCACATAACTAGGCTATTACTGTAGTTTTTAGAGGATCCTCTAATACAAAGAATTTTATTGCTGATATAGATGCCAAGAAAATTGAATTCAATACCATATGCAAATGTTAGGTTCATGAAGGATTTTTTGCAGCTTATACATCTCTTAAAATTCATTTAGATGTGTTACTTGGAGAATATAGGATGAAATATCCATATGCTAAATATCATGTTACAGGACATTCATTAGGAGGAGCAATGGCAACATTATTTGCAAGTGAAATATCTATGATAGGTATTAAAGTAACACTTGTTACTGTTGGTTCTCCAAGAGTTGGTGATTCTGATTTTTATGATTGGTTTTCAACTTTAAAGGTTACACATTCAAGATTGACAAATAAAAAAGATGTAGCTCCTCATTTACCACCTGTTAGATTTGAATTTGAACATGTTAATACTGAAATATGGTATAAAGATGGAGTAAATTATGTGATTTGTTAAGAAGTGAAGGGAGAAGATCCAAAATGTTCAGCATCTGTTTTGAATCCAAATTTAACAGATCATTTAACCTATTTAGGATGGTCTAGTAATTCTTGTGATGCTTAAATAACAGAATGATAAAAATCAATTTTTATATGACATCATCTATTAATTACGTTCATTTATTCTTTAATATAATTAATAATAATAATATAAATATTCTCTATTCTTATAGAATATCTTCTTTTATCATAAATACTATAAATTATCTTTGATTTTACTGTTTTAAATTAAATTTGGTGGATTAATTTCTTTTTTAAATTAATATATTTCCATTATTAAATAAAATATATAATAATAATTATAATTGTATAATAAAATACAAAAATTTGTATAGATTTAAAGTAGTCTTATTATCAATAGTATAATTAATTTTCTTACATTAGAATGATTATAACTTTTATAGAATTCTATTATTAAATCCTATATAAATAATAATCCAATTAAATTATATATGATTATGAGTTTATAACTATATTTAGATGTCGTATTATTTACATTAAATTAAATATCTTATGATGTATATAAAATTAATAGAGGAATATTAAAAGGAGATATTAGAAATTTTGAGTGTATATTTAAATAAATAAAATCTAAATGAGATCATCAGTTTTGATTTTAGTTGTCTTAGCTGCAACAGTCAATTGTGCTTTCGTTTATAATGAAGCCTTAGCAACTGAAGAGGCTGCACTTTCTTTTGCTGCTTATTGTCCAGACACAGCCATCAACACATGGAAAGTTGGATATGTAAGCACAAATTATCCTAATATTGAAAAACCCTTAGTTTTTGAGAACACCATTGCTGTAAGATATAACGTATATATATTATTTTAGGGTACAAAAGGATACATAGCCTACAACCCATCATACAATGCCATCACAGTTGTCTTCAGAGGTTCTAGCAATATTCAAAACTGGTTGGACAATATCTAATTTGATAAAGTCAATTATAATACAGCATGTAATTGTTAAGTTCACAGTGGATTTTTGGATGCTTTCAATTCTATCAAACCATAAGTTGATTCTTTGTTCACTAAATACAGAGGATTGTATCCAAAAGCCATTATTCATGTAACAGGTCATTCATTGGGAGCTGCTATGGCTACTTTATACACAACTGAATTAGCAATTGCTGGATACTCAGTTTAATTGAGTACTTTTGGTTTACCAAGAGTTGGAGATACAGCTTATTATAACTATTTCTCATCATTCACAAAAGTCACTCATTTCAGAGTTGTTCATGAAAAGGATGCTGTTCCACATGTATAATAATTAAAAATAACATATAGGTTCCACCTGAAAACTTTGGATTCAATCATGTTGATAGAGAAATCTGGTATCATAAGAGTTCATACACTGTTTGTTAATTGGATGAAGATCCTAATTGCTCAGATTCAGTTCTTGTTCCATCAATTTAAGATCATATGAGTTATATGGGATGGAGTTCAACTGTGGACTGCTGATATTTAAAATACAAATTAAAAAATATTCAATAAAATATATGTTTATTCAATTGAAAAAACAGAAGAAAATATATATATATAAAATAAAATATGTTTTCGAATCCTTTTTTCAAAAATAGTGGAGCATCTAGTCCTAAAAATAATGTACAATCAACATAATAAAGACCATCAGTATAGGATATAATGAATAAATATAAATATAATCCTTCAGAAAGAGTATCTCATGTTGATGAATAAATATTAGGAAGTCTTAACGAATCCTCAAATGTAGTGAATTAATAACAAATTATAGTTTTTAAATGAATAATCAAGACATGATAAGATGTTTCTAAATCCAATACAACCATAATTTGATTTAGATCCACCACCAAAAAAGGATGCAATAGCTAGATTAACTTTTGGAGAAGAGAACAAGAAATTTGAATCTCAGAAATTATAAAATTAGAGATTATTAAATGAAAATGATCTTTTTGATGATATGTCTCACTTAAAAGATAAAGTATTAAGTATCAAATTATTATTATATCTAAAGACATGTTAGAGAGATATTCTGTTGCACTTAAAGCTCCAGAATAATAGAATAAGAAGAACATCATTAAACATTAATTAGAATTGGATGCCAATCAAGTAGCCTAAGAATATTCATAAATTGTAGATAAATTTAACAATCCAGATTTATCAGCTATATCAATTGCAGATAGTACAATACCAGTATACAAAGTATAAGATTGAATATGATTCAATTAGGAATAATAATTGACTTAAATGTTTAATCTTGTAGAAGAATTCCTTACTAAGTTTAAGAATATATCCTAAGTGTAATAAGAGAAATCATAATTATTACGATCACGTATTAATGCAGGTGAATCTCAATTACAAACTTAATCAAATAAAGTAACTGAATCAGAAAAATAATTTACTTTTTAATCTAATTAATCTAGTAAACATTCAAGTCATGCTGTTAAAAATAAGGCTTAAGCATAATTTGCTTAATCTATAACAGTTGGACAATCAAATCTAACTTCAAATAATTATTAATAGACTTTTAATAAAACTAATGGAATTTAATAATAAAGTCCTACTAAAACTAATACATTTTAATCTGTTCCTACTATAATCCCAACTTATGAATAAAAATCAATTCCTGCTTAATAACCTATAACTCAATTAGATATGACAGTATATAATTAGTTTCCAAAAATGGATGATTCATTTTATGATTAGAAATAAATATCAATGCAAAGAATTAATTCTAAATTATCAACTTTAAAAGACAAATTACAAAAGGAATTATAAAAGGATAATATGCCATATACATAAAAAATATTAGGTGAAATGATATCTAATTTATAAGAAATAATAAATACTTAAGATTATTAATTAGTCAAAACTATTATTTTCAGAATTGAATAAGGTATTCAATAATTATCAAATAATAAAGAAGGTTCAATTAATCTTTATAAATACATTAATAAAGCTTTATTAAATTCAAAAATGAAAACAGATTTATTCACTCAAAGAGCCTCAATGCCTGTTCATGCTTTATAAGAATAACGTAATAGTTCTACTACTATGTCTTCTCTAAATAATTACTAAACTCCAGCTAAAATAGAAAATGGTAATACTAATCAATAAATTGATATCGATCGTAATTTTGATAAAAAATAAAGAGATTAACGTCATTTAGTAGAACATAATTTATATTTTGATTAAAGATTAAGTAATCTAAATAAACCAGATATTCCAAAACCTAAATAATATATTAATTAAATTGCATCACCAAATTCTGGATATGAATCTAGAGGATCAGTTAATTATGAAAGGAAATAAGATGATCATAAGACATATTCTTAAGATGCTCGTTTGAGTTATTAATTATAATTTGAATCCAGACCTAGTATTAATATAGAATAAAGATATTCAAGTAATGAACCTAAAAATATTTATTATGCTACTGAATATTAAAGGAAAACAGAATAAAGTTCCTTTTAAGAATCTTAAAAATTTACTTAAGAAAGAATATCTGAAATATAAATATAATCTGATATGTAAAGACCATCTGAATAAACTATAAAGAGATTATTTTTTGATGCTGCTCTTACTCAAAAGAATAAATTGCCTTCAAATCATCCAGGTAGAAATATTATGGTTTCAGATTTATATGAAGAATATGTAAAAAAAGGTGGAGATATGTAAAAGTTTATATAATAATAATTTGATCGTTGTTGACAGTATTTTATTTTATCACAAATCAATATTCTATACCTTAAATTCTAATTGCCAATTATAAATCTCTAGTTAATAAGGTAACTCTCTTAGCATGATGTGAACAAAGATTGGCATCCTCAAATAAATGAGTAATAAATCCTTCTGTAGCTTCTTATAATGCATAAAGTGCAGATTGGGTAAATCTGAAATCTTTTTCAGATCTTTAAGAAACTTCTCTCACTAATCTTTAGAATGGTAATTTCCTAATCAAAAGTTGAGTAGAAGCTTAATATCTAAAATATCATATGAGACATATACTTTCTGATTTCTCTTAAAGAAACAGTTCCAGGTCTAAATTTGTGTTTTCTCTTTTATTGATTTTTATAAGGTTATTTTTTGTTATCCAATGAGTCATTACAAAAACTTTAAGGAGAGAGACTGAATTTATTATTGTTAGGTTTTCCTTATTTAGTTCTAGCCATATTGTATATATAGATATTGATATTAATATTAATTAATAAATGAAGTGTTTCTTATTTAAAAATAGTAGAATAAATAGTGTGTTTGATTTTAAATAATTTTTAGATTTAATTAGATGTTAATAATGAAGAATTAAATATATTGATAAAATAGAGATCATATATGTATATATATAGTAGGAATTAAAATTGTGATTATTCTTTAATTTAATTATCCAAATGTCAGACGTAGAGGATTGGGAATAATACGCTGACGAAGAATAAGAGGAAAAGTAAGAATAAAAGTAAGAAGACAAGTCTAAATAACCTTAAACTTAATAATAGAAATCTGAAGTACAATCAAAGGAATCAGATATGAATAATGTTTTTGATTTATTTGGAGGAGACAAACCAGTTAAAAAGAATATTGGATAAGTAGATTTGAAGAAAATTGGTGAAAATTTTGCAGCTGCTTTGTAAAATGTTGGTCCTAATTATACAACTGAGTTCTTAAAGACATTGTTAACTAAGTTGGAAGGAAAACTATTATTGAATCATTATGAAGAGTTATTTAAGATAGTGGAGGAAATTTACATTAAAAAGAGAAAGTAATTTGAAGCAGAAGAAGCCATAAAGAAAAAGAGTCAATAGTAAGGACCACCAAAAGGAATATCATTTGGAAAGACTAAAAATATAATAGAAGATGAAGATGAAGACTTTGATAATGTTGATGATGATGATGATTTCATGTGATAAATATATATATCTTAATTATGGATAAAAAGAATAAAGTGAAATCTATTGTAAAGTTCGATGATGAAAAGTAGCCAGAATAAGTAATCTAAGAAGTACAAGAGATTAAAAAAGATAAGAAAAAGAAAAAGGAATAATAAAAGAAGAAATTATCACTTGAATAGAGACATGTTACTATTGCCATTCCAGATTCAATTATCTCTAATGCTTAATCATCTGAATTGAGAAGTTATTTTATGTCTCAATTAGCAAGGATGTTTGCAATCTTTTAAGTAGATGAAGTGATCATCCTAAGAGATTATTCATAGTATCTCTATATTTACATTTTTTAGCATACCAAAAAGTAAATAATTTGATGTAGCATCATATGTGGTCAGAAATTTATAATATTTGGAAACACCATAATATTTGAGAAAGTACTTGTTTCCAATTCACTCAGATTTAAAAAATGTTGGTCTCATGAATCCAATAGAATCAAAACATCATTTATTGACAGAACAAGTATGTCCTTTTAGAGAAGGTGTTGTTGTTGAAAGACCTAGTAAAGGAGATACATCTTGGGTGGAAATTGGACTCAAAAGATAAGTCTTAATTAATTATCCATTATAACCAGGAACTAGAGTCACATTGAAATTAGATGATCCTACTTCCACTCATCTGACTGGAACTCCTGTTTCTAGTTAGGATGCTAAAAAGGAAGGCTATTATTGGGGTTACACAGTTACAATAGAGTCTAAATTTCATAGGTTATTAGATAGAGGTATTAAAATAATATATTATCTTAAGATGATTTTGATATGAAGATTTTGATTGAAACAGAGAAAAGTGATGAAACTACATAAACTACAACTTTTAATCCTAGATAATTATCATAATAACCTTTAAAATTATTGTTACTATTTTCAGGATTATAAAAAATAACAGATTTTACAGAAAATGATGAGAAATCTAAAGTAAATAATTTAATATATTTTTATTAGTTATCCAATGAGGATATATATGGAAAATTCGATCATGTATATAGATATGGAAATAATGAATATGGTGTAAAATAACTCAGATTAGAGGAATAAATGTTTATGTTTTTACAATCAATATAATGATAAATCAAATATAAAATTAATATTTCTAATTAAGCAGGAATATGTCCATATTATAATTTGGAAATATTTTATTAACATTATTATATTAAATGATAAATTTGATATCAATAATAATAATAATAAATTAGAATTATTATTATTATTATTATCTATTGAATATGAAATCCAATATTAGTAATTCTTTGAGGATATAGAATTAATTAATGTAGTATATAATAGTTTTTATGAATATCTCATCTTATGATTGTTCATTTAATCTAATATGCTTACAAAAAAGATCAAGTTATTACATAATATTATTATAAGTTATATGATTAAAAGTAGATTTTAAACATTATTTTATCATTAAGTATTTTAATTCATTATAACTTCTCTTTTTGTCAGTTTGTCCATAATAATCATTTATTTTAGAAGGAGTAAACAAACTGTAATTAATATAGATAGATTTAATAAATATATATATAAATACTATGGAAATGAGTAATATTTATTAAGATTTAATAAAATAGTCATTTTTGAATATGAATTACATGTATTCATTTAATTTAGTTTCATTTATTTTTGGATTTTAAAGAAGTCAAATAAATGAATATACTTATTATTAACTAATATATATATATAGATAATAAATAATAGGAAAGTAATCATAAAGGATGAATTTCTGAACTATTCAATATATGATATAATGAAGAATATTAATTTTAGAGTAATTGAAAATAGTTTCATCTGAGATAGAAGATAAAAGTGAATTGATTATATAAATATTCGATTTAGTTAACATAGATAATAGATTAGAGAATATTTGAATGGTTTACTATAAATATGATTATTATTGATTTTTTGTATATTGTAGGAATAGGTGGGGCATCGTTGGCAGAATATTTCTTCGATTTACAGAGAAGTTACCAAGTATATATGATGTTATCATCATTGGGTGTTTTAAGCATATGGTTTGGTTGGCGTTTCAAGAGAAGAAACCTTAGGAACGATCGGATTGAATTGCTTATACTGTTGCTTATTGGCAATTCATTAAGAACCATAAGTTCTACACATATCAGTGAGATGTATTTTGCATTATTCTCAAAAAGGTTGCTTTATATCATTCCAATCTAGAATCATGAGCATCCTAAAAAAATGTTTATTTGTCTGCCATTCATAGCTATAGTAGTTAGTGCTAAATTAGAATTCAATTATGAATATACTTTAATTGGTTATGGATTCATTCTGTTGGTTTGGTTGTCAATTAATCATTCTGCAGAAAGAGTTCGTCAGATTTCAAAGAATCACAGTTATTCTAAAACATGGATCAATCCATCAGATAGTTTGATAATAAATTAGAATGATAAATATGATCTTGTAATAACACGTTTAGGTAAAATAATAAGTCAAACATCTGATTTATAGAAACTATTTGGTACTGATGATCCTGTTATCATTTAATAAATACTTAAGGATATTACTATACATAAACTTGACAAATAATTCAAGAAATATAAAATTACAACTCTTTTATAATTAATAGAATCTAAAGATCTTATTAAATGTAAAGTATTAGATTGTTCTACTCCATTTGGTGATAATTATATGATTGAATTAACTATTTTTAATGATAATGTAGGTTTAAGATTTTATGATATGTTTGAATTAAAAGATTATTGGGAAAGGAAAGTTACTAAATAACTTATGAATTAACTTTTTCGTAGTTTTAGTCATGAATTCAGTACTTCATTAAATTGTATAAGAATTCTAGCAGAAAATGCTATTGAAGATATAGATGATGATTATATTGTGAATACTTGTATCTAACCAATTTTAAATTCCTGTTACATTCTCAATTCAATAGTTTAAGATGTTAGAGATTTTAGTTTGATATTATCTAAAAACTTCATACTCACTATTTAAATTTAAAATATTTATTTACTTATTCATGAAGTATCTGAATTATATCGATAACAACTTAATATGAAAGGTGTATAATTAAATGTTAAAATGAATGAATTCTAAATTCATACAGATGGATAAAGATTCAAATAGGTACTTAATAATTTATTATCTAATGCATAAAAATTTACATTCTCTGGTAGTGTTACTATTGATGTTTAAGAATAAATCATTCATGATTAATAATTTATTAAAGTTACTGTCTAAGATACAGGTTCTGGAATGGATTAAAATACTTAGAATCGATTATAAGAGTTTCTAAAACAACCACATAAACGAAAATCTAATCTTAATTTTGGTTTAGGTTTAATGATAAGTAATACTATTTGTAATGGTTTATCTCCTAATTATGAATCTGGTATACATTTTCAATCCAATAATAAGACTGGTTCTATATTTTGGTTTTTCCTTGAGGATCTCAAAACCATGGATTTACCTGATGTTGTTAGCAGAAGGACTATCAAATATAATAAAATACATAGTTCAGGTAGAAGTTTTTTAGAATAAAGTTTTATCATTAGTCCTAGTGATAAAAAAAGATAATCATCTTTTACATTCTCATTAAAAGGGAAATAAAAGTTAATTGATAAATAATCAGAAAGTATTTTTTATTTATTCTTATACTCTAAGATTTATCTGAACCAGATGATTTTATTTGTGCACCTTATGTTTTTAGAGAAGGACCAAAGAAACCTAAAAAACAAAAATATTCTATTGATTAAGTTGTCAGTGAATATGCAGAAGATAGAGCTAAAATACTTATTGTTGATGATGAATTTGTAAATATCTATGCACTTACTACAATGCTTTCAAGATTAAATATTAAATGTGATTAAGCACATAATGGTAAAGAAGGATTAGATAAATTTAAATAATAATATTATCAAGTTATACTTATGGATATTGAAATGCCTATTATGAATGGAATATAAGCCACTCAATAAATAATCGAATTTTGTCATTCAGCAGATTTAGATCCTCCCATTATAATTGCTTAAACTGCTTATACTGATATGTAAACAAAATAAATGTGTAATGAAGTGGGTATGGATTATTTCTTGTAAAAACCAATTAGTACAAATGAAATTAAATAAATTCTATAAACTATTTAGTTAACTTTATGATTACTTTAAATTCAATCTATATCAATTCATAAAATATTGTCAATTTTTTTATTATTCAAATTTATTGATTACGATACTTTCTGAATTATTATTATATAAATAT